CCATTCTAAAGGAAACAAGATAGCCTGTATTACTTATCAATCTAAGGAAGGATATGCACACTATGGACCAACCAGAAACCCACACATGAGCTGATCCACTCTGCTTATCTCCAACTTTGAACTAAAAGATTCACTACCTTTACTTCCTGGGGTAGTTCAGAAACTGAGCAATAGTTGTCAGATTCCCTTCTCTGCCCTTATCAGTAACTTACATTTCCACTAGGCCAGTGTCCATGATTGGCTTAATCCATGTGAGTGAGACCAATTTGGGGTTGCTTTATATGGAAGGTTTCTAATTTTCTAAAATTGATATGGATTTCCTTAAAAATAATAAATACCACATAAGAATTACTTGTTAATTTCAGAAACACAGTTAAATAATATAAAATCCAATTAATCGTTCTTGTGAACCCATTCTAGTGTCTGTATGTCCTGGTAAATGATATCTACCTTCTGAGTGAGCAAAAAGAAATTTGCACATGAGAATATGTAAGCATTTGGGGTATAGGAAATTTAAAAGCAAAAAGTAAGCACATTTCATTTTTCTGTGTTTTGTAGATCTCTCTGTGCTGATACTTTGGCCACAACATTTTTTACTCTAACCTGTAGAGACATGTATTTGCAATGTTCTTTTTTTATGAAAGGGATGTGCGAGTTTTTCCCTACTCCCATAAATCAGTGATCCAAAACATTTTGTCTATTTCTTTTACATTTTCTAGGTCTGGGTTTTCTGTTCTGTCTCTGGGAGGGCTGGAGTTAAATTCCATTTTTTGAACATTCTTTCACCTTGCCCTAAACTGAGAAAACACCACATGCTGCAATATTTTAGTAAAGCTGTGCATGAAGTAATTACTCCAGTGCCCATAATTCTTCAGGTAGCATCTCATTGACTCCAGACAAGTCCCTACACCTCTTCAGACCTCAGAGACTTCAGGTATCTGTTAATCATGGAATGTGAGTCCCCCTGAGGAATATTGAAGAAAATATGTAATGTAAAAGGGATTGAACCTGGACCACAGCAGGCATTCTGAGTTCTTCTTGCTGACAGAATGAAGAAATACAATGTAATATAACCAACAGAGATGCTGGGACACAAAGTTCCTTCTATATTTGTAGCAACAAATATTTGGGTTTCTAGCCTTCTAGTTCACTTCTTTTGCAGGTGTGGCTCAGTTACAAAGGGCTGTCAGTGTTAGAATGGTAGCAAACTTGGAGGAGTAAGAGCAAAAAGTTACATTTCCTTTGCCCTCCCAAAGACTCTCCTCTTGTGTCCTTGGGGACGGAATTTCCTGTAACAACTCCATTTTGCTTGCCTGGTGCTGACAAAGTGATTAGGAACCTGCACTCGGGTTCCTCAGCAGTGTTTCTTAAGCTTCTCCAAACCTTCAGCTCCAGAGCACGCAGTCTCCTCAACAGAACCTGTGCGGACGTTGGTGACAGATCGCTGACTTCAGGACACGCAATGGGTAAGTTGGTTAACATGAGACTTTAGCCTCAGGTCTAAGATATACAGCAGAGATTCAGGAGACCCAATGCCACAGGACACACAGCTTAGCTCTCTTGAGATGGCAGTGGGGAATGGTAAGATCCCATTCTGATTGTTTTCCATTCCTTACATGATAAAGGCCAAATGGGATTCTAGACTGTAATGATTGCTTATGGAAAACATCTTCTCTTATGGTGTGATTCAGGTGGAATTTTTCCCCTGGTTGAGGAGAGAAAACTGGATGATGTGCAATTCTCAGATCCAGGGTTTGAGGTACAGGGAGGTTACCTGGGGCAAGAGTTGTTAGAAATTAATGGGTTTTATTCATAATTGAGATGTGACAGGGAGTGCAAAGCCACTAATATTCTTGAATCTTCATGCCAACCATCGAGGATAGATTGATGACTCCTACAGAAATTACTTCAGGCATGCTTTATGATTCAGCAAATGACCTATTCTGGAATCTTCCAATTGTAGTCTTCTATAAGTAAATTTGTTACTAGCATATTTAAATCTTCTCTATGTAGCTGAGTTGTGTCTGTCAGTTTTACCTGTTACTCAGAATTTGTACTAATGTTTTCCACAGTGACTATGAATTTGTCTAATTCTCCATTTACTTAAACAAATTTTGGTTTTGTATATTTGAATGTATATTAAAAATACATACACAAATTTAGAATTGTTATTCTAGTCTCTTGTTGAACATTTTATCTTTATGACTTCATTAGTCAATTTCTTCTTTAAAATGTGTTTTTCTCTTAATAGTATATAGTATGTATTTTGACATTTCATTTAAATTTTTTTTCTTAAAGATTTATTTATTTTTATTGGAAAGGCAGATATACAGAGGGGAGGAGTTACAGAAAGGAAGATCTTACATCCAATGGTTCACTCCCCCAGTGGTCACAATGGCTGGAGCTGGGCTGATCTGAAGCCAGGAGCCAGGAGCCTCTTCCGGATCTCCCTCTCCCCCTCTGCAGCTGCAGGGTCCCAAGGCCTTGGGCTGTCCTTGACTGCTTTCCCAGGCCACAAGCATGGAGCTGGATGGGAAGTGGGGCTGCTAGGATTAGAACTAGGGCCCATATTGGATCCTGGCACATCCAAGGCAAGGACTTTAACCACTAGGCTACTGCGCCAGGCCTATTTTAAATTTTTTTTTAAGATCTACTTATTTATTTGAAAACAGGGTGAGAAAGAGAGGGCTTTGGAGGCAGATTTCCATCCACTAGTTCACAACTCAGATGGCTACAATGACCAGGGTGAAGACATGAGCAAGGAGCGTGATCTCCCATCTAAATGGCAGGGGTCTTAAGTCATCTTCTGCTACTTTTCAAGGCTATCAAAGGAGCTGAATTGGAAGTTTAGTCACTGTAACACCAACCAGGTGATGTGAACTTCACAGGTGATGGCTTAAACTGTTACGCCACAGTGCCAACTCCACATTTTAAAACATTTTGAACAGAAGGGCCTATATGATGGCTCAACTGGCTAATCCTTCACCATGCAGTGCTGGTGTCCTGCAGTTCATGTCCTGACTGCTCCACTCTTGATCCAGCTCCCTGATTATGGCCTGGAAAAGTAGTGGGGGCTGGCCTAAAGCACTGAGACCCCGCACTCATGTGGAAGACCTGGAGGAAGTTCTTGGCTCCTGGCTTCAGAACAGTACAGCTCCAAGCACTGTGGCCATTTGGGAAGTGAATCAGAAAATGGACAATCTTTCTCTCTCTGTTTCCCCTACTCTCTGTAAATCTGCCTTTACAAAAAAAATATTTTTTTAAAAGATTTATTTATTTATTGGAAAGGCAGATATACAGCGAAGAGGAGAGACAGAGAGGAAGATCTTCCGTCCAATGATTCACTCCCCAAGTGAGCGCAACGGCCAATGCTATGCTGATCCGAAGCCAGGATCCAGGAACTTCTTCCAGGTCTCCCACATGGGTGCAGGGTCCCAAAGCTTTGGGCCACCCTCGACTGCTTTCCCAGGCCACAAGCAGGGAGCTGGATGGGAATCAGGGCCACTGGGATTAGAACCAGCGCCCATATGGGATCCCCGGTGGGTTCAAGGCGAGGATTTTAGCTGCTAGGCCATGCCGCTGGGCCCTACAAAAAAATCTTTAAAAACAATTTGAAATGAAACATAATCATTATAAATGTTTGCGAGATTCTTTTGTGATGTTTCAGTACACGTATACAGCGTGTAATGATCAGATTCTGCTGATTAGTGTATCTGCCATCTCTTTGTGTTGAAAATATTGTGCTACCGTCTACCAGCTGCTTTGAAATATATAAATCTTTGTCAACTATAGTTGCCTTAATGTGCCATAGAACATTATGTTACCCTGTTGTCTAATTGCACCCATGTACCATCTGGTACTTGGTATATATTATTCTTCATTTAAGGATACAGTAACCAAGCCAATTCCCACCAAAGAAGACCAAGATGGGAGAACATGTACCACAGCAGATCACCTAATTGGTCTGAGCCCTCTGGCATGTATCTTTCGCCCCAACGGCAACAAGAGGAAGATCCAGCAATAAGTGAGGCCCAGGTGGACCCACAAATACGATAGTAAGTGACTACTCAGCGTGATTGGAATGCGGTCATGAGTAAAATGTACAAGCCTGTAGTTAAATGCATCATTCTTCTCTCCAACTTGGAAAGAGCCTAATAGAATCACATTAATGATGGGGCACATTTTATTTTAGCCCTGGAATCTGTGGGACATATGTATGTAGAAGACTTTCTGAACATATATGAATACTTTCTTTTCTCCACTTACCCATAGTTCTCCCTATGCCATTCCATATCATCATTATCATTCTCATCTGAGAGGTGGTACTTACCAACAATTCCAAACTCGTATTAGGATGGAGAGAGAACAAAATCCTCCAGAGAGAAGAGTGGAGAATACACAGACTAGGATTTCAAGCAACTGGTTCAAGATCACAGTGAGTGTGCTGGCAAAATGGATCAAATGTTCAGAAAAGGGAAAGTAGGAGGAGTTGTGTTGGACTTGGGTACAAGGAACTTTCCTGGGTGCAGATGAGTTGGTAATCTTTTATTGCTATTATCACAAATTAATATCTTAGACATATTTTGAAGGATGATTTAAAGAGAACAGACTGACTGAAGGGATCATGGAAAGGGATAAAGTAAAAGCAATAAAATGCTGATACTTCACTTTGGCTCAAACTGTGAGTATGTATGTGGGGGAAGGGGAGTGGAGATTATCTGTGATCCCTCTAAAAAGAACACACTAGATTTGCCTTGGGTAAGATCTCTTATGATAGTGAGTTCATGCTAAAAATATGAAGTTGATTAGTTGAAGGAAATTGAATTTTTAAAAAGGTATTTAGGAACTACCAATGTGTAATATCATGAAAATTAGAAATAATGATGTTGTAATGTTGTCACGTTTGGAATTTAGTATGAAGTCTTAAAATAAATGTTTGAGTCTCATTTTGAACTTTAATTCCATTATATCTGTGTCTTTCCCCATTCTTTTGCTTCTAGATTCCATTTGGAATAAAATATGATGAAAAGTGGCTGTTGGATTTGTTTCAGAGCCAGTGTGGTATCCCATTCACACCAGTTGAGGTAACAGAAAACAGAGAGGTAGATGAGATGAAATAGGATGCAAAAGGACCATATAGCGGTGACTCCAGCCTCATGTTCCATTTGTTTTACCCTTTTCTTTGTAGTTTCACTATGATAAAATGCAAGCCCACTTCTTTGTCCAGAATGCTAGTGTTGCTTCTGCATTGAAGAGTATCAGTGGGAAGATCTGTGATGTGGATAATGAAAGGGTATGCACCAAGGGTATGAATAGGACTGGTTAAGGAAAAGAGGGCAAGACAATGGAAAGGTGTTGATTGATTAAGGCGTTGCTTTATCTTGAGGTGCAGGGTTTCTGGTTCATACTCTGTTCCCTTTGTATTTCCTGCAGATATCAATCTTTGCCGTTCCTTCTGATGTACCCCGCTCTGTGCAGGAGGAGCTGAAGGTGGGAAAAGCGGAACAGATAAAGGTAATGAAGACTCAAGCCAAGCTGTGCACCCACAGCCAGACCAACCTCTTCCCCCCACCTCATTACCCCCACCTTGCCACTTCACCTTCAGAGCTACTGAATCTCTAACTCTGCATTCTGACTCTGCAGCTAGAAGTGAGCAAACAAGGTGATGCTTCTGAGCAATTGGCTGATGTCAAAAGACCCAACACTGAAACAGGCATGGCTGAATGCAGTGAGTTCAGGGCAAATGAGCAGAGTGGTCTGTTTGGGAGGGAAACTTAAGGATGATAGCTTGGAGAGTGTTTAACGCTGCCAGTGTACCACGTGGGACTTTCTTAGTCTTTTGACTCCCTTTTCTATTCTTTCTGGAGATGTGATGGACCATAAAATCAAAATGGCACCAAATGCTAGAAAGTGTATGGCTCCCTGCCTGAGATCCTGCGAAGGGAACATGCCCAAGGTGAGGCTTTGATGTGGTAGCGAGATTGAGGGTGATGATGCATAAAATTAGTTGGAAAGTTGGATTTGACTTGAGAAAACTATCTTGAGGACTTCATTCTAATTTTTCATCATAGATGTTGAATTTGGACAGCCAAACCTATCTGCTGGTTGGCCCGCCTGGCACTGTACAAAAGCCCACAAACATGGAAAACCCAAATTTCTCAAAGAATAAGGTGAGATTTTTTCAGATTACCCTATGAGGGAAAAGGAGGGGCTCATCAGAATGGTGACAAGAGACAGAGAAGTGGGTACTGAGGGTGCAGGGCCCACTGCCTGTTTATCTTCTCACACATGTGATCTCTCTCCATAACTACAGGTGAAATCTGTGGGGGAGACAGACAAGGAGAAAGGGCTGGAACTTGAAGAGATGTGTGCCAACAGAAATCTTCAGGGTGCCACCTGTCCGGATAAGTCCAGCAGCATGAAGTCAGTTGCATCCCTTGTCTTCACCCGATTGCTTGAGCTGCCCCTGACACTGCCACCTGCAGGAAGAAGCAGCCCAGGCCCTCTGGGAAGACCATGACTCCACCCCCTCCTCTCTCTGCCCCTCAACTCTACTTAGAAGTCTCTTTTCCTTCTTCTGACCTTCTCCCTTTTCCACCTGCTTGAAAATATGCTTCTTCCCTCCCTATACTGGCCTCCTCCAGCACACCCTCCCATAGGTGTGTTTCAGGAAGCAGCGCTCCCTGCTCTGACCCGGGATAGAATGTTCAGTCTTGACCCAGCTCCTGGTGATAGGACTGAAGTGGGTCTTCCAGCCCAGGGTTTCCAGCTGATTCACCTCTTCGTGTCCCTGTTCTGAGAGGGGCCCCTTTCCATTGCACCCGAAAGAGCCCCCTAAGTCCCGGGACAACATGGGAGCTTTCCTCCCTGACACTGAGGGCTGAGGTCCTGGGTGGCTGCCATGATGCTGTCTGTTCAGCCACAATGCTGGGAAGAAGGCCATCCTTCAGGAGAAACCCAGGTTCCCTGAGGCAAGGGGTCAGAGGCTGGCTACCTGCAGTGAGAGAGGGCTTGTCCACGCAGAGTGGAAGGGCAATGGTGGAAGAGCGTGAAGATATTGAGGGGCAGTCCTGTAAAGGGAAGCACATGTTCTTTCCTCCTCACCACATCTCTTAGAGGATCCCTGGGAGCCTGTGATGTGTCTGATTCCTCAGGTAAGACACTAATGACTCATAGACACAGCTGCAGGGAGATTCTGAAGAGAGAATGTGGTGATCCTAAAAGGGGTCCCAAACCCTCAACCTCATGTTGAGCTGATGCCTGACCCCTCCCTTATCGTGAGGAAAGTCTCCTGCCCCTGAGGCTGCTCCAGTGGCCATGCTCAACAAGACAGCTCAAACAGGTGACAAAGGCTCATTCTGTCTCCAGGTGCTCCAGCGCAATAGTAGCTGTTTCCTGCCTACCTTGGGCCTCAGACCCAGCCAAGGACTCCTGAAGGAAAGGGCTGCAGCAGGGGAATCACTTCTTGCTCTCCCACCATGACTCTCACCACCATGGCCCAGTCTCTTCCCCTTCCTTTTATTTCCTCTCCTTCTTTGCTCTACTCTCCTTGACTCCCCTGCTTCTCCCTGGTCTGTCTTTACACCCTGTCTCTCATCATCACCATGCCTCTCTCTCCCTGCCACCAGAGCCCTGCCTCACTCCACTCCCTGACCCATTCTCCTGGGCCTTCCCTGGGGGAGGAGCTGGTCGTGTTCAGGCCAGGCAGAATGCTGAACATTCAGAAAAGTAGCAAATCCGGGGTTCCCATCCCATTCCCTACTTCTTGTGGTGCCTTCTGAAGGTACTTGGAGAAAAGTAATGGAGGTGGGGAGGGACAGGAAACCTGGGTTCCCAGTCGTACTTCCTGTGGCCCTGGAGAAGGGATTCAGGGAAGTATAGGTGAGAGATACACAAGGGGTAGGAAAGCGGGGGGGGGGGGGCACAGATGAATAGGGAAAACCAGAGAGAGAGAGAGAGAGAGAGAGAGAGAGAGAGAGAGAGAGAGAAAGATTTGCCTTTGGGTCAGTGCACAGGGAGCAGTTTAGGACATTGCCTGAGTGAGGCAGTGGAATCTAGGTGGAACACACTTGGCTACATCCCTGGTATAGATGTGCTTGCTCCAATGAGGCAGGGTTATTCTCTAGTTTTACTTACTTTTGTCTTGTTTTGATTTCTGGCAGCTCTATCCTAGAATTGTTCCCCAAGATTCTGAGCCTGGTGAGTGTGTTACTTGAATATTGATACTTCTGATTGGCAACAATGCTGCCTCCGATTTTCCAGAATACGTTTTGGGCTAATTTTCTGGATTAAGTTTCTAGATTTGATTATTAAAACACAGGTGAGTGATCATAGGCCAAGAACAGACTCTTGTGCCAACTTGACAAAAGCTATAGTTTCTTCACGCAAAGAATCTACATGACATCCCTAGCAGAAGTGTTCCAGAGTATGTCCACCACTGCCCTGTGAACTCATACTGGACTGTGATTCCCTCTTACATTCCCCAGCACGACCCAAAGCCTCCTATATCAACTGTCTGTGGTACTGAAACCCACAAGATGTTACCACCCTGCAAGGTGAGGAAAGATCAGGTAGGACTTTAGCTGGTGCCAGGGAGAGGGGTAGCAACGGTTGGTCCTGAACACTCTTTTTATTCCAGGGAAGCTTCTTTGGATCTGAGATGTTGAAGAATGTGATCCTGCACTTTCTTCAGCAGTAAGTACCTCTGGGATCATGAGGAAGAGGAGACCTGGGACAGGCTGGGCAACTCAAGGACAGATACTGATGGTGTTTTTCATCTTTCATTTGGAACCCTGCCACAAAGGTAGCCTATCTCATTGCTCCGCTTACAGGTATTACCTGATCTATGACTATGGGGATCGCCGGAATCTCCTTGGTGCTTACCATGATAAGGCCTGTTTTTCCTTGACCATCCCCGTTAACTCCGTGAGCCCAGTCCTGTGAGTACTGCAATTCAGACTTTGTCTGGGGCCATGTACCTCCAAGGCAGGTATACATCAACTCTTGCAAACATCCCTACTGCAAGAACACTGCTTAGTGTTCTTTATTTTCCCATAGGAAAGGCCTGTGTGAGTACTTCAAGAACAACAGGAATATGAAACATATCAAGAATCTCCGTAAGCATGTGATGGGGAGGTTTGGGTGAGGGTGTAGAACGGGGATGGTTGTAATGTCCAAGGGCCTGGGTGTGGAAGCACAGATTGTCTCTCCCTCTCCCAAGCAGACCTGAGGAGGCAACTGCTGAAGCACACCAACCGTGTCATTGTGGACACCCTCAACAGGTTGCCTAAAACTGAACATGACTTTACCTCCTTCTCAGTAGATGTGTGGGTCCACACGGTGAGCACGTGCTTCCTCCCACAGGCAGTCCTTAGGAAGCTGGGGCTGGGTGGGAGGTGAAGGAAGCTCTTGAGCACCTGAGTTCTTCCCTTTTAGGAAATGATGCTCGGCTTTTCTGTCAAAGGGGTGTTCAAGGGAGGTGAGTGTCTGCCGAGTCATCTCAGAATCCTGACTGCACCCTTCCTTGGACTGGGCTCCCCCTTAGAACCCACCCGGACTTCTATAGTCTGCTCCCCTTCTTTCCAGTCTTCATCTCATACTTTTCTACTCATAGAACATCCCTATCAACCCTAAATTCATACCTGACTTTCCTGCACAATTCGTGCATCAAGGATACAGGTTGTGGAGTTTGATGGGACAACCCAGGTGTTTACTCTGTGTTCCTGGGTTGTTTCTCCCTTCATTTTCTTCATATGCAAAATGGGCCTTCACCAGCCATCTCTTGGGATCAAGTGAAGTTATCAGATGTTTGTCACATGGGAGCTCTATCCCCAGTAGTGAATTCATATTGCTGCACTCCCCTTTCCTGCCATGATGTCCTGATGCCAAATAAACAATCACCTCAATCTGAACCCCTTCAGTGTAAGACCCTTAGTAGGAATGCTGTATGAGTGGATAGAGCATGCACAGCTGTAAGCGGGTATTATCTGTTGTTTTTGAATAGGAGAGCCTCAGGGATCGGTTTGTGCTTTCACTAGGACCTTCATCACTATCCCTACCAGTAATTTTGGGTAAGTGCTGTGTTGTGGGTACTACACCAGAACAGCTTTTCTTGTCTGAGCATATCAGTGTGGACATATGGCAGTCAAGCCCTAACAGCATTCTTAGTATAGTCAAAAACAAACTGTGTAGGCTAGTAGCTGTTGACAGAAATAATTAGGCTCTACAAGAAGGCTAATGTAAGGTTTATTCAAGGAAGAATATGAGTGACTTTGGCCTAGGAGATGCAAATCCAACAACTTTGAAAGAATCCTGGAAATTTTCCAGATGTGTCAAAATTTACTTGAAATTCATATATTCCGTGACAGTAACATTTCCTTTATTGTTATGCAAGTAACATATAGTAAGCTTTAGGTAAGAGGGATAAATACCTTATAGTTTTTATTATTTTTTTGGCATATAATTGGTTACAAACTTCTTTAGAGATAGGATATGTAGTAAGAAAACTACTCATTATTTTTAAGAAAGACATTTCTGGGAATTAATATTCATGTCAGACACCCATTGTAAGACTGGAGGGGAGGGGGAAGAGAGACTCCAGTACCAAATAAGCTGTAACACAAAACAATAATAAAAAATCATTAAAATTTTTAAATGAATTATTAATTAATTAAAATTTTAATATTAAAAGGAATGTATAGATAAGGAATGAATAAATAATGCAAGATTGATCCAAATGGCTGTTTCACCCCTTAAATAACTGCAATGGCTGCAGCTGAGCCAGTCCGAAGCCAGGAACCAGGAGACTCTTCCAGATCTCCTCCATAGGTGTGCAGGATCCCAAGGACTGGGTCCATCCTCTGCTTTTGCAGGCCACAAGCAGGAGTCTGAATAAGAAGTAGAGCAGTTGAGACATGAACCGGCACCCACATGGGACCCCAGGGCTTGGAGTTGGGTATTTAGCCTATTGAGCCACAGTGCTGGTCCCAAAGCCTATACACTTTAGAACAGTAGATTTTTCATTTGTCGTTTAATTTTAAGCATAAATTGACTTGGTTTGCGAAAGACTTTAGTTAAATGGGAGAAAATTTCTTTTAGGTCAGGGATAGGCAATACTTTTGGGGCATGCTTTTTTACAAACATTTTCAGGGACCGTGTATCTTAGAAAGAAGGCTGCTAATAAATTTCAATAAGGATATTTCTGGGAATAGATATGAAAGTAACTGTACATATAAAGGATCAAGGATCTTTCAGTATTGTTGCAGGTGGCTAACATGAAGTACAATGGTGCACATTACTGAAATCATATTGACCTAGTCAACAAGATAAGAAGTCTCAGCAGATGTTTTTCTGGATTGCTTTGCCAAATTCTTTTACAAGAAACTTGTATTAATGGTTAGGAGCATGAGCTTTGGAATAAATATGAATTCTTTCATAATGCAGTACTCAGTGTTTGACTGGCCAAGTCATGTGGCCTCTATACCTCAGTGTTTTCCTCTGAAAATGATTATTACTCTGTTCTTGCCCTTGGATTGTTGTAAATGGTGAATTTAAATGTATACACACACCCCTAGGTTATTCTAGTGAAGCATACAGACAATCTTTCCAAAGATATACCCTATTAGGGATTAGTTAGGAAGTATTAGGGTTAGGGTTAGAAATATGACAGGGAATTAGATTAATGGTATGGAAAGGGACTGGCAATTGAACAATGGTGTCAGCAATGTTGGGAGGTGTGGGATTGTCCATTTGTTCAATGTCTGACAGCTCATCTGCCTTCCAGCCTGTGCGTCGTGAATGACAAGCTGTTTGTGCAGAACACCAGCATCCAGGGAACTCAGAGCGCCTTTTCCACCTCAGTGCCCATTCCCTGCTCTAGCTCCATGCCTATCCTCTCTCCGGCACAGCAAGAAATGGTGCGCGCTTTGTCCATTCAATTTGGGATGAACTCCGAGTGGTCTCAGAAGTGAGTGCTGGGTGCACACTACAATGGATATAAGCTGAGAGGAGTGGAGAGAATAAATAATGGGATTTCATAGCTAAATGGTTTTGCTTCTTTATCTCACTCATTATCTCACTGAACATTTCTCAGTACATATTGAACTACTTGGTTATTTTGAACAAGGATATGGGACCTCATGAATTTCTTGAAACCTATTTGTTTATTGGGAATCACCTGTCTGTTAGGATTTTTTGTCACAACACATTGTGCTACAAGGGTTCAGTCTACTGTGTACATTGAGATGAATCAGGAGGCATGTTGCCATCACATAGGTTAAGAAATGGGAATGCTTTTGCGGAGTGTCTCCACTGGGTTCTAACAGATGCCATTTGTCTTTTCCTCACTCCAGATGTCTCCAGGATAACAACTGGGACTATAACAGAGCTGTTCAGTTTCTCAGCCTGCACAAGGTGAGGTACAGTAATTGAAGGAAACAAAGTCAGAGTGGCCTGAAGGTCTTGGCCCTGATAATTTTCCATCTCTCATATTTATTTCTTCCAGGGAAGAGGCAAGATCCCAGCGAAGACTTTCAAATAGACCAACCCAAGATCCTGAGATTAAAGCCCAAAGAAGTACCTGGGTGTCATCATCATCATCTTCTGTCTTTGTTTTTTCTGTGCTCATAGATATTTGCCTGTCATAGAACCAAGAGGTCTGGTTGAGGCCAAGAAGCCAAAGACTATCTTGTAGAACTGATCCTCATCCATTCAAAGGGCCAGTTGTCTTGTGCATGTGGGTGCTTCAAAAAGTTTGTGGAAAACCTCATAACGTATATATATAATGCCAAGATTTTTTAAAAAATAATTTGTTGTTTACTTATTTGAAAGGAAGCGTGACAGAGCTAGAGAGTGAGACTCTTCCATCTGCTAGTTCATTCTTGAAATGCCCTAAGTACTTTGACTGGGCCATGTACTACTGCCCAGAGCTAGAGGCCAAAACTCCATCCACATGAGGGGCAAGGATTGAAGTACTTCAGTCATTTTATATTGTGGGAAGATGGATTGCAAATAGAGTAGCTGGAACTTAAACCAATGCTCTGATATGAAAAACCAGTATCACAAGCCACAGAGTAACGATGCCTGCTCTGCTTCCAAACATATTTTAATTCTATATTTCCACAAGCTTTTTAAACTGCCTCCATATTTGCTCTTCCATTCCCAGGCTGTTTGTTTCTTTTCATAGTAAAGAGTGATTGCCTGATAAGTTTCTGCAAAAATCCACCGGAGACAGATTTTATCTCTATTCCACAGAAGAAAAAAGATTCCTAGGAAAGAGTGCAACCAAGACTCAAATCTAGTACTGGGAACAGTACAAAAAATTAAACGTGGAAACAACCCATTGGTGGTTGGGGGGGGGGTACAAACAATACTAAAGAACGTATGGAAACCTGGGAAGAGAATCTGTCCACATATGTGACTGACATATAATTAATATGCTTAATACATAAAATTGCATATAATTAAATCAGCAATAGATAAAATCAGTAGAGAATGGAAATTCATATTAGCCTTGAATTATTTTTAAAAGCAAGAGTAATGCATAAGTCTATGAAAACTTATTTAGCTATAAAAGCTACTAACCTAACTGCAAATGTTGAGATAAGCTATTAATTTAGAAAACTAAATATCACTATTTTAAGAAAAGATAAAATTAATTTGTATGTGCCTGCACGTGTGTGTGCAGATATGTACCTCTATTTTGATGTATTAGTTACTTAAAGCTGTCGTAATAAAACACCTCAAGCTAGATGGTTTAAGTCTGCGTACGTTCATTTTCTCAAAGGTATAGAAGTCTGAAATAGAAACCAAGGAACACAACAGGGCCAGGTTCCTTCCAAAATCTCTGAGGATGAGTCTTCCTAGTATTTTCCAACTTCAGGATGCTGCTGATTTTCTTGACTCATGGCTGCATAACTAAATTTCTGTCTACATCCTAACAGAATTTTACCCATGCCATTTGTCTTTCCTTTTTCTTTTTCAATATAATCCATTACCAAATGCAGTGTTCATCCTAACCTAAATGTCATCTCAAGATCCCTACATTATAATGTGCAAATGTCTTATTTCAAATAACATCATAGTCTTTTCAGCTCTTTATTCTGTGTCCCAGAAAATGTTTACCCATTCATTGCATGTAAAAAATACACTCTCCCCATTCCATCAACTTTGAAAGCTAATGATTTCCAGTATCTACTCTAAACCAAATATCCCATCTAATATTAACAATGAGAAAAGGCTCAAATTTCATCATTTAAATTACTTGCACTATAATTAGGTGAGACTCTAATTATGATCCATATGGGCCCAACACTTCTCTTAGGATTTCTAATTGCACAATGTGTCATTTATCAAAAACCATTGATGGGATAGGCATAAGATATCCAATTATGAAAGGGAGTACATGAAAATATTAAAAGGGTCACTGGTCCCAGGTAAGTTTAGAACTGCTCTCTCTGGCCTCTGCCTTTGTATCTCTAGCTAAGTTCTTGTCCTTCTTCCTTTCTCTTGAAGGATGACACATGTTAAAAACCATGTTACTCCTTTATTTTGGCTATTTGGGCATCTTTTGTATTTCCACAAAAATTTCTAGTTTTGTGAAAAACATTATTGGTGTTTTGATAAAAGTTTTACTGATATGATTTCTTGGAGAATACACACTGTAATGATACGGATGCATGAAAACATGTTTTTAAATTTTTTTGTTTTCTTCAATTTCTTTCATCAATGTTTTGTACTTTACATTCTCAAAAATCTTTCACATTTTAGATTAAAACTTCTTAGATATTTTATATATCTTTGTACATATAAAAATAGGCTTACTTCATTTTCTTTTTCATATAATTCACTACCAGTGCATAACAACATTTTTTTTTACATATTGCACAAAATTTTAAGACAAAATACATTGGATTTATTTTTTAAAAGTCTGCCCAAATATTCACAGTCTTCAGCAGTTACTCTACTTCTTGTGTATACTCTACCAAACAACATTATCATAAAATCCAGAACAGTGCTGGTTCTGCAGTTTTAGCACAGTACTAACCAGAAGGCTATGTATAACAATTCTGTGTTGTATATGACAATTTTGGATTTTTAAATATTAATTTATTTTTCTTCAAAGCACAGATCAGATTTACAGAGAAGAGAGACAGAGAGAAAAATCTATCTGTTGGTTCATTCCCCCAAATAGTCGTAAAGGTCAGAGCTAAGCTGATCAAAAGCCAGGAACCAGGAACCAGTAACCTCTCTATATCACACGTACCAGGTGCAGGGTCCCAAGGCTTTGGGCCATCCTCTACTGCTTTCCCAGGCCACAAGCAGAGAGCTGGGTGGGAAGTGGAACAACCAGAATATGAACTGGCGCTGATATGGGAGCTTGTAAGGTGAGGATTTAGCCACTGAGTCAATACAGAAGGCTCAATATATAACAATTTTTTATATTAACTTTACAACCTAAAACCTTGCTGAACTTGCTTATTCTATTTAATTTTGATGGACTCTTTGAGGATTCATATATATAAATTCATGTCGTCTACAGAGAGTGACAATTTGACCCTCCACTCCTTTTGCTTTTTTCAATGACCTTTATTTCTTCTCTTGCTTAGTTGTTATAACTTAGATTTTTCAGTTTTGTATTGAATAAAAGTGGTGAAATTGGATATTGTTTCTTGTCCCAAAACTTAGAAGGCCTTCAACTTATTCCCATTCAGTATGAAATTAATTAACTCTTGACTTATTACATATGACTTTTCTTCTTTTATGCTTAATTTATTCAGCCTCTTATTGATTAAGAAATGTTGGCTGTTATCACATACCTTTTAAGCACTCGTAAAGATGAGCATCATTCTGTTAATGTAGTGTATCACAATTATTCATTTGCATACATTTAACCATTCTTATATCTCTTAGATGAATCCCACTTGATTATGATGAATGATCTTTCCAATGTGCTGCTGGATTCAATTTTCTAATATTTTGTTGAAGGTTTTGGAATCTATGTTCCTTTTGCTTGTATATTTGTCTAGGTTATGCATCAAGATACTGCTGGCTTTGCAGAATCAGTGTGGAAGAATTATCTCTTACTTCCTGGAAGAATTTAAGAATAATTGTCATGAATTATATTTAAATGTGTGATTGAACTTAGTATTTAAACTACCTGATACCAGGCTTTTAGGAGAGACTTTCATTATTGATTCCATTTCACTATTCCTCATTGGTCTATGAAGGAGATTTATTTTTTCATGATTCAGAGGAGTAAGGTATACATTTATAGGAATTTGTTCATTTCTTATAGTGTGTGAATTTTCTTGCCATACAACTGTTCATAATAATCTTTGACAATACTTTTTATTTCTCTGTTCTAAGAAAATCAAGCAACATAACTCCAGTGAGTTCCAGTTTTTTATTTGTGAGAAAATAGTCAACTTGAGCTTATTGTCATCATCTGCCTTTACTTGTGAGTACTCATTCCAAAATTCTAAGAAGTCTGCTTATCTATTACAATTCTGTGAACTGTTATGCTAATTTAACACTACATAATGTCATAAGTTGAGTTTTGTCTCATGTTCCCTATTGGCATCTTGATGCTGTTTTGGCCCTAGGAGATGACCAAAATCAGAATAGTTCCAAGTTTGCAGTTGGTGTGCTGTTAGGAATTAACTTGGGAAGCATTCAAAAGGGTGGTGTATTCCTTCAGACCAGGATAGGTTCTGATGCCTAGTTCTGTGACCACCAAAGCCACAATGCCGGATCATGGTTATATCATAGGATATGGGGTTCCAACTAAAACCCATGCTTCTATGGTCTGTCAACCAAAAGAAATTTTTTTAAAATTTTGACTTAATCACAATGATTGAGGTGATGCCTCAACTCTCCCTATCTCACTTTGTTACCATGTCACTAAAGGTATATTTTTGAAGTTTTACATACATATATTCATATGTAAGAATTGCAAACTTCTTTTTG